CCCCCCCCCCCCCCCCTTAATTTCATTCGGGCTACGCCGATGTCTGGGTCCATAGAGAATCAAGTGTTTGTTCCATAATCCCAAGTATTTGAAAAAAAGTCTAAAATTTGATTGAAAGCAAAGCCAGGATGTTGAGCAAAAAAAGTATAAAGAAACTGAAGGCGCCTGGTAGTGTGTAGTACATACTTTGTATTTGCTGTATATGTGCGGGTATGTATGTACATTAGACTGCATCACCAAAAAAAGTACAAAATGTATTATATTTTAAGACGCCCACCAAAATATTTCGGAAAAATATTAAGATTTAAGCGAGCTGGACCGATTTGAAAATACCTCCGAAAATGGAGATTTTATGAATAAAAATAGTTCCCTAAAGAACTTTTTGAAAAAAGTCGCCTCGGATGACAAAGCAGATTAGGATTAAAAAATCTGAATAAAAATATTTTAAAATTTATTCAACGGAATCGTAATAATGACATTTTTGATGCTGCTTTTTTTTACTTATTTTAAAGATTGATTTACGAAAAACTTAAATAACTGGGCCAAAACTATTCTGATTTAGACTTATGGGATCTCAGTAGAAATTTATTTTCCCACTATTTTTATTTATGTGCAGAAAGAAGTCATTCGTGTACCAATTTTTTTTTTTTCAAATACCAACACAACTTAATTCAACTTTGAATGATGTTCATTCATCCTACCTTTCTCTTTCATCGTTTGAATGAGTTTATTAGCAAAGAAATGAAAAGGGTGAGAAAATGCCTTTCCAAGGGTATACCTCCTAAGTCTAAATAGGTTCAGTTATTCAACTTTTTCTTATACAAAACTTAACAAAAAGTTAAAAGAACGGCATCGAAATATTTTTATGCAAATTTTTTAGGCTTAAACCGTTTTGTCATTTCAGGGGACTTTTTCAAAAACTCCATTCAAATCGGTCCAGCTCGCTTAAATCTTAATATTTTTCCGAAATATTCTAGTGGACGTCTTCAAATATAATAGATTGTTGTATAATAGTACAGTACCGATTTTTTTTTGTATGGGGAGTGATGCAGTCTAATGTACATATGTAAGTACTATATGCACCGCCAAATATATGCAAATTCTTTCCTATCTGAATCTCGGTGACGACGATGTGCCATGGCTACCGCCATCGCCATTAGACTGGCGACAAGCCCAGACGATTGATGTTACATTTGAGCATTTTCTCTATGCGGTCACCTAGCAAATGTACACGAATTGCAGAGATTTAGCTGGTCTATCGCGTATACATATGAAAGAGTATACATATGCAAGTTTGTAAGTATGTTTTTTTAATTTATGAATGTATGCTTGTTAAATTTACTTTTCTAATTTTATATAAACTACTTATGTTTGCTCGCATGTTTCTTTTTTTTTTGGTGTTAGGCAAATTCTATTGGCCTGCCATGGGGCGGGCATGTTGTCGTCGACAAAACATACGAGCCATATGAACTTGTCTAATCTGTTGTGTTCGCGAGTCTGCTATAAAAATAGCGTATAAAAATTGCATTTCCTAGTTTTTTTCTTTGATTTCTACCTCAAGAAGTGGCATGAAAAATTGTTAAATTTAAGCGAGTTGAATTGAAGAAACCAAAAGCTATAAAAAAACGTCAAATACTGAAAAAAACATCAGCTGATGATAAGCTTTTTAAACGAAAAATGTAGCTTACACTTGGGATTGATAAGGATCGAATTCTACCTTAGGATGCATTTTTCGCATAACAATTTAGTCAGATGATTATTCTCGATTTGATAGTTGGATTAGAGAGAGTAACTATGAGACTAAAACCTTCTTCTAGTGGGAACGAGGAGGACAGCATTGGCATCTGCAGTGATGCCAAACATTCTCTGGCAAATTACCCTCGAAAACTGGAGAAAAACTCCGCTCAGCGCTGATTTCCCAGCTCTACCACGGCACGTTTTGCTAAAACACTCGCCACATAGAGCACGTGAAAGATAAATAATCAATTAATCAAGGACAATGGAGTTAACCCTTTAAAATTACCGTTTGAACTGCAGGCAAATTGTGATTCCTTAATTGGTAAAGAAACATAAATTGTTGTCCACAAACATGTTAAATTAATTTAATTTTTTTTTTGCTTAAACATTTTAGCAAATTAAATTTTTTTGGGGATAAATTTATTTTTTAATATTCAAATTTTTTTGTTGGCCTTATTTTTAGCTGGACTTTGATACTTTTTTGGTTAAAATTTTTTAACAAACGCAATTTTTTTGCTAAATAAGTAATTTTTGAAAAATTTTTTTTTTTTTTTTTTTTGTTATATAAGTTATAACAATTATATTAAAGAATTTTATTGAGCTCAAGGCTTTTATTAATGAAAATTTTTGCGAGAAAACAACAATAACTTTACATTTTTGTAGGAGTTATAGCTGCTATTTCGAAGATCACCATGTCTCCTCATCAGACTTCTTCAACCGCGGTCATTGGGATATGAACCAGCGACCTCGGATTAAAAAGCTAATGGTCTGCCCAAAAAATTTTTTAAATTACATTTATTTTAATTACAACTTCTTTGTGATGCATAACATGTTTTGATTTCAAAACTATTTTTATTCTTAAAATAAAATGCTTTTCAAACATTTCAAAAATTTTTTTTTCTAGTTTTCAAGAATTAATTTCATGTTTAAAAAACTAAAAATTTTGTATCAAAAAATTAAACAAATCAAAATTTTGTTTGATAAAAGTTTATTACTTTTAATTTTAAAATTTATTTCTATTAATTTTGTTAAGTTGCTCTTAGATTTTTAGACCTAAAAAAATTTTTCTTTATACAAATTTTTTTTCTTGTTTCAGGGGACGATGCGTTTTCTTCTTCTTCTTGCTTCTTGTATCAAAGTATAGTTTTTTAGAAAAAACATACTTAGCAGCTTTTCACTCTAGCTAGCGATATGTCATTTTTTATTTTTTCTATTTTAGAGTTTTTTTATCTTTATTTTTTCTCAAGTATTATGTAGTGTTAAAATTAGCTAAATCATAATGAGAAACATCCTAAAATGCATAGACAAATAAAACGAAAATCCACACAATTTTCCGATGAGTATAATAAATGTTTAGAAAACATCTTTCCCTTGGCACCGAAAGAGTCGAGTGTCGAAACTTATTTCTAACAAACAAAGTGTAAAATATTTACCAAATAATATTGATACAGCGTACACACGCATATTTATGTATGTATGTTTATGTAAATTTTTCACAGGAAATTCACTTTCATCCATTTATCATAATTCAATTTCCTCCATAAATTTGTTAATGGTCTAAATAAATACATACATATTTTTGCGTACAAGCGAATTCGTACTTCTTCGGTTTGTTGTTTACTTTTACCTGATGCTTTTAGTTAACACTTGCTGTGCAAATATTGTATGTATATTGTTTTCAGCTTGTTTTTTTATATGTACAAAAACTTGCCATCATTATTTTACTGCTCATAAATATTTATAAACACATATGTATTATACTCGTATGTATATTAGTTTGTTGCAATATGTATATTTATGTATGCACTTGAGTTTAAATACCCAAGTTTTGGAATTGGTGAATATGTACATCGTTTTAGGTGGGTTCAACGCTGGGAATGGTACTTTTATACATATCCTCATACATATTTAAATATATCTGCATAATATCCTTTACACATACATTCATACACTCGTTGTAAACAGGTTAATAAAGCATTACAGCAAAAGCGATGCAAATCTTTAAAGCTTAAGGGCGAAACAACATGGAGCACCACAGTTAGTTTTAAATATCAATTAGATAGTTTTATTGCATATCAAAACACATTCAAGTGCATGCCACATGCTGCATAAATTTAAATTTACTTCTATGTATGTACATATGTATATGTATATACATATATGTATGTACAAACAAGTGGAGGATAACAGGTGGGACGGACAACAAAAAAAAAAAAAAAAGAAGAGTTCATTAGGTACAAAGAGTTAAAATGCACCACTCAAATTCAATTCAGTGCCAGTGCAGGATGAGAGTGCTTTGGGAAAGAATTAATTGATATTTGCATAAGACCAATCTGGTATTTAGTTTTATTGCTGCGTTTTTTTGTAACTAGTAGTTCGGCTGCTGTTGGTGGTTGTAAGTTGGAGGAGAGGCCATGATCGATAGGCAAATACAAGTAGATATTTGGAAAATCCAACTTTAAGTGCTCGTTCACTTACCCATAACCCTAGGCGGACACGTGGCATGATCGGGACCTGAAGTAGTCGACAATTCAGAATAGTTTTATGTACAGTAGATATCCAAAAGTCTAGTAGACATAGGTAGGACAGTGAGTAAATAGTATGTGACAGAGCGCGAAGCGCGTTAAGGTTTTATTTTTTTTTTTAGTAGTTTTCATTTCTTGCTTTTAAATTTGTCCTTTTGCCTCAGTGCTAAACATTTAGCATATTCAGTTCGCCTCCACATTGTTTTTTTTTTTTTAATTTTTTTTGTCTTGTTGTTAGTCACATATGCATGGGTTAGCTAAAAAACCTGCTAAGTGTAAATTCTTGTATTTTGTCTACATTTACGGAAACCTCCTAAATGTTATGTGTAAGAAGTTTAATTCGAATTTAGTCAACAATTTTCATTTCATTTTTATAAATGTGTGTAAAACTGTTCATTTATTCTATGTAAAATTGTCTACAAATGTATTTGTGTTTCTTTGGATTAGTGAGATAGTTCTTACAAAAAAAAACTTTAACTAAAAACTGTAACTGCTTGGCTTTCGTTACGAATTCGTATATGAAATCTAAAGAAAATTATGCAAATTAAAATAATATTATGTTCTTAAAAACAAATGCTTTGAAAATTTTTCTACTTTTTTTCTACTTAATGTGTGCGGCGAAAAAACTTTATGAAAAAGTATAAATTCAACTTCGAAAATGTAAATAAAGAGAAATTCGAAATAAAACACAACAAAAGACTTACAGAATAAAACAGCTACGAAGTCAGTATCCTCGATGATTTTTAAAAGAATCTTTGAATTGACCTCTTCAATGCGATCGGGCAAGTCCATGGCTTCCAGAGAGGTGAGGAAATCGAGTACACCCTCCTCGTCCATGAGATCGCCATCATAGATAATTGGTTCCTTTTCCCTGTAATGGAATTTTTGAAATTGCATATAATAAAGTAGATCAGTATTTAAATAGATATTATTTATAAACTAAAATTAAAATTTAAGTAAAACACTTTCCAGTGGCAATAATTCATTGGGTTTAAGCCCTGTGACAGTGACTAAAACAAGTGTTCACATGTTGATTTTTTTTTTTTTAAATCTATACATTGTTTCTTAAGTTGAGTCAAGTTTTCTCAAGCGGGCCACCCAAAGTTGACTTTTCGATTTTTTATATTTCAGTGACCGATTTTGAAAGTTAACATGCTGGGCATTATTGACACCAAAGATTTTGCGATATTTTTTTTACGACTTATTTGCAAGCAAATTTTTATGCAGGCTTTTACACTTTTTTAAAATATTTCAGCAACCATTCATTCGAATCTTATGATTTTTTGACAGCAGTTAGAGAACTTGCTGGGCAACAAAATAAAGTGGTCAGTTTGTAAAATTTCGATTTTTGTTTTATAAAAGATTATATTTAAAGAATAAAAATTCAATTTTTTTATCAACTTCTCATATACCTAGGAAAAGTATTCAAAAAGCATTATTTGCGCTAAACACTCAGTTTTATTTTCATAGAAAAATTACTCTATGTTTGTTTGACTCAAAGCTTTTTTCCAAAAAAAAAATAAAACAAGTTTAAAAAAATAGAATACAAATGAACTTAAATTAAAAAAAAAATAATAATAATTTGATAATTCTTCATGTGATACTTAAGTTTGAATTTTTTTTTTTGTTTAGAGCAAATAATGCTTTTTGAATTCTTTTCCTAGGTATATGAGAAGTTGGTAAAAAAATGAAATTTATTAAAAAAATATTTTTTTTTTGTAAAATAGGAATCGAAATTTTACAAACTGGCCACTTTATTTTGTTACCCCATAATCTTTGGTGTCGATATTGCAAGCCATGTAAACTTTCAAAATCGGTCAACGAAAAAAAAAACATCGAAAAGTCAACTTTGGGTGGCCCACTTGAGAAAACTTGACTTAGTTAAAACTTTTTTGTTATATACATATTTATAGAAATATTGTTACGCCTTAACCGAAACCATATGAATCAAAGTTTTCAAGTTTATATTTACAAAATTTTTGGGAAAATTCGACAAATTTTCATCAAAATTTCGAACTGAGTCTTTAGAACGTTTTTATTAAAAAACAACGCCAGTTTTTAGCCGAATTAAACTTGCACTTGATTAGACTAAAATTGTATGGGCTATAAAACCTGCATATCCAAAAACTAGTTATACTAATTTTGTATAATCCTAACAAATCAACGATAATATATATCTATTATTTCCTTACCTGAAGTACGTGAGTGCTGGGAAATTTTTAATTCCGTATTGCTTCGCTAGTCGTTTGTCGTTAATCTTTACGAAGTCAACACCGAATGAATCGGTGTCATCGTCGATTTTTTCGAGTTCCGCTAATACTTTATCACAGGTGACGCAGCTTCGCGCATCTGAAATTAGACAACGTTTGCAAATTAATCTCTAAATATAATATTCAATAATTTAAAATAACATAAGGTATATACGGAGGTATCATGAGTGATTGACAGTTGTCCTATTTCATACAAGCTACCTCCGAACGGCACATGGTTTTATGAGAAGCTTTTTCAAGGTAGAAATATACCCGAAGATTTGCCATTGCTGCAAATAGACTTAAGGGCCAAACCAAAACAAAAAAAAAACGATATGTTTCGGAATGCATTCAGAGCAGCCTCAGGTGTTGTAATAAAAGCTCCCGTACGTCTGCTTCCATTGCCAGAACGCTGCTAAGATCGAGCTCTGTAGCCAGCTTATCAGACGTTATAGCTTACAGTGCTCACGCTTTCGCAGATACCTTAAAACTGAATAGAGCGCTGAAAAGTTTGGTCTGGAGTTCTAACTTAAAAGCTTTGGATGTTTTTTTTTTTTAATAACGTAAGACTTCCATAAGTTACACCTAAATACTTCACTTCGGAAGAAGTCGGATCAGCGGCTTTTTTAGGGATAGGACAAAAAGGTCGTCCAACCTTCTCCTTCTAAAAATATGCAATGCATACTCACTTACTGTTGTTGTTTACACTTTCAAGCATAAAAGAGTTTACCACTGATATGAACTTAACAAGAATTCGAAGATTTAATTTGCCAACATCGAATTCATTCCACCAAAATAAGCTACATAATAAAATATAAAAAACTATTAAAAAAATTAGGCAATCGTGAAAAATCAGCATTTCCATCAAACACCAAAAACCGAGGAAAATGAACATTAAAACTCTTTTTTAAAATTGTATATTACTTTTGAAATTTGAGCACATCTTATGATTATAGAACTTTTTTTTAAACAAGTAATTTTTAAGCAAAAAACATAATCAAGATGGTACCTCTTTCCGATAAAAAAAAAGAATTATAGAAATCGGTTCACGTGGTCCAAAGATATGTGGTAGATTACATAGAAAAGAAAAGAAAAAAATATTCCGACGAATTGATAACCTCCACCATTTTTCTTAAATCGGTTAAAAATTTTTGAGTTCTTTGTTAATTTTATATAAATACAGTGCAATTTTGTAAAACTTTAACAAGTTTATTTATGTATTACTTGCTGTACATAAAACTTGCTTAAATGTATTTTAAAGAGCATATTATCTGAAGAGAATTTTCAGTATTTTCTGGTGGTATATCTTTCGAAGTATTTTCTGTGAAAGGCTGTTCGAAAGGTGGAGAAAATGTAATAGGAATTCGAGTGCATCAACGCAGCTTGGTTAAACAAAAATTTGGGACATTGCTGATTGCCACTCAAAAGGTCATGCACCAAAGTTTCGAATCTCGTCGAAGGCAACACTTGCAAAGAGCTTATGAGAAATACCAATTAGCCTATACAGAAGTGGAAAACACTGCACTCCATCAAATATAGTTTCAATGGTAGGCACAGATGCGGATACATCTAAAAATATATAAAGAAGTCTGGATATAGACCAACAGCTGCCTATGAAATACACTCCAGGGGAAGCTTTAGCCCATTACATTGATGGCGATTACATCAAAAAATCATATAAGCTTTTGCAAGCTGGTACAAAAGCGCGAAAAGCCAATACCTTTCCCATATATGATGTTTTGCGACCCGCCAACAGGATGTGTTATCCAGATTAAATTCCGTTGCAAGAAATTCTGGACCACACAATAGCTAGAATTGTTGAGCGCATCCCAATGCAATCAGCCAAATCTCAGGTGATGATGACAGGTATGAAAATCTGATTTGCCGACTTTTTCGGCTAAAACATACTCGCAAAAATTTGCGCTTAAATACCATGGAGGATCTGAGGAACTCGTTATTTGTCTCTTCGGATCCAGTCATAACAAGTTTGTGCTAAACTTCGTCAAATAACTCCAGCAAAGCATTTTTTTTACAGGGAAGTCCAGAATCTCCCTTCGGATTCGGAGAACTGACCACAAGTATAAAAAAAATAATAGTTTTAATTTGAAAACAAACAAAAATTAAAATAAATAAAAAATTATTTAGTTTCGTTCTTATTTGAGTTAATATTATATAAAAATTATCAACTTTGTAAATTTTTTATTTTTTTTTTTGAGTAATTAATTTCGTTACGCTAGATCAGCCAAACGCCCACTGTGCGACGGAATGAAACTATTTTTCGAGGCCGCCATTAAAAGCCTTTTTGAGTACAATAGCTAGGATACCTTTCCGGAACGTGCGACTAAAAGCTGTTAAAAGTTTCAATAGTATCTCTTCTGACATCTTCATTCACCAAAGTTGTGGCAACAAACAATTTGTATTTTGAAACTGTGGTTCGTTCTCATATGTTCTCCATCTTCTCTCGAGAGAGGGGAATGCGTCACAATTATCTGATTTGCAGGGAAATTACTACCCAAAAGAACATTGCTACTGCCGTAAATAGGTTCATTCCTTATCTTTTTGGACTAAAATCTGAAAAGTGTCAAAATGCCAGAGCGTAAGCAAAATGCGCTCACTAAAAGAGAGTAACAGGAAAAGTAAAGGAACGCAAAAAACCAAATTTTTAGTCCAAAGAATGGCAACAACAAAACTAACGTCAAATAAGAACAGAAATGTATGTACAAAACACATTCACACAAGCACAAGCACAATAAACACTTACTATATCAATTATTTTTTGCCTCCTTCCAATTTCAATTCATTTCTTTTACTTTTTAGATTATTCTCACTTTTTGCGTATTCTTTAATTTCCGTTAATTTAAATTCAGTTGAGTTTGACACTTTTCAGGATTTTGCCAGAAAAAATTCTTCTGACTAAATCTGACTACTTCGGACTGATGAGAGTCACTCTCACTGGCTGTTGCTCTCTCATTTTTGCTGTCATTTCCGAGTTAAGGAACGCTTTTTGGACTAAATCTGACTACTTCGGACTTTTTCTGACTATTTCTGGGAGATAAGGAACGCGCATAATGTATGCATTCGGCCGGTAAAAGGCAGCAATCTATAAAATAAGATGACCCACAGAGATTGTAGAGCAATAGAAAAATACTCGAAAGCCAAGAAAGAAAAATAATTGTTGATGCCATTGTCTAGTCATATCTGCAAATTTAGATTCTTCTTTAGTTCATGTAATTGTAATTACTTAGAAAATGGTGATATTTATTATTAGTAGGAAGGCTTTGTTCGCATTACTCATCGAAATAACTTTCTCGGGTTGCCACCCGAATTCTCTTTATATTTCAACAATCTTTAGTTAGCAAATATATTTACGAATATGTATTTACCAATACTAGTGCGAAAATAAACTTGAATGAATGGTAAAAGCAAAATCATTTCCTAGCAAAAGCAGATTATTAATGATCACAAAACTGCCAAAAATTTGTTGAATTAATTCATAAAAATTTATGCACAACGATTAGGGATGCGGCTGGGTGGCTGCACGCCGCTTTTCAGCTATAGCCAAGTAGACTACCACTACCACCGTCTCCTTGCATTTGCATGCACCCGCACTATGTATGTATATGTGTGTGTGTGTGTGTGTGTGTGTGTGTATTTGCACAAAGCTTTTAGCCGATTTGCACTAGTAAATGGGGTGATTGAGTTTTTGGCTAAAGAAAATTGGCAAACACAAATATATATGTACATACATGTGTACATATGTAGCCATGAGTATGACTGTATGATTTTGAGTAGTTCAGGGTATTCTTGTCTGGGCTGATATTACATACATATGTACACACGTACCTACATAAATATGTAGATAGATTTATGTACATTCATAATGGCACACGGTTTTTGTTTTTGAATAAGTATTTCAAAATGCATATTATTGCTTAGTTATTTTGCGATGAGCCAGCAGACGGGCCTCTCTTAGTTCATCTGCATTACGTACCACCAATGCACAAATGTACGTATGTATGTACATATGTATGTATGTATATATTTAGGCACATCGCCACTGCAACAAAGTTTAATTGCTGTTGCTGATTTAAATCTGAGCGATGACAATTTTTAACCATTTCAATACAAAAACTGCCATCGATCAACCGGTGCTGACAATCAACGATGCTGACGTGGTCGCTGTCACCTATGGCGATGGCGATGGCAATGGTGATGGCGAACATGTTTGCATGCTTTTCCTATGACTTGCACACTTACACCGGAAATGGCTTTATTTGGCCCTGCAAATCAAAGTTCCCGAAATCTTAACGAAATCTTTAGGAGTATTTCATTTCTGTAACAAGTTTTTAACGAATCTTCAAAGAAAATTGTGTAAAGTGGTTGACACGAAGAGATTTCTGTTCGAACAATAACGAAAATTCTGAAAAAATGCTGCAAGAAATTCTACACAGAGCAGCATTATTTTCATTGCTTTACCGATTTTTTCCTCAATTTCGTAAAAGTATCGGAATGTGCACAGTTTATTTAATTTTAGAAAGTTCAGCAAAAAATCGTATGAGATCTATACGAAATCTTTAAAATTTTTTGTACAATTCACAATACTCTGAAAAAATGGTTTGCTATGTATGTAATATTTGTAATACTTAGATCTTCTAGTCAATTACAAATAAATTAAATGCTTGCAATAACAAGTTCTATAAGAATTTATTTACTGTTTTCATGGTGAAGAATATTACTAATTTTGAAAATTATTACGTGGAATTGCACACCCGTGCTACAAAATCGAATGAAGTAGAAATCTTAACTTACTGTTAAAAACCCGGTTTTTCGTAGTATTGCGCTTTTATACGCCTACAACCAAGAACATTATTAACCGAGAATCAGGTTTTTGCTGGAAGATGAAATTTAGACCTCTCCAATGATATATGTACATATGTCTGTACATTAAAATGTATCATCGAGAAAAATCTATTATATTTGAAGACGTATACCAGAATATTTCGGTAAAATATATGAAGATTTAAAAATTGTTTCTTAAAGAACTTTTTGAAAAAAATGCCCTCAGATGGCAAAGCAGTTTAAGCTTCAAAAATCTGCACA